AAATATGTCTATGATGCATCTCATATCATTGAATGAAGTTCTATTTTTTAAAAAAATAATTCTTTAAGAAGAAAATAAGAGTTACTTCTTAAGATATAGTTATTAAAAAAACACTTTTATAAGAAAAATGGTTTAAACAAATGAATCCAATATATCATAGTTAATTAAATGATTTTTTTTAAGGAAAATGGGTTGCTAAATATGTTTATTTTTATAACTAAAAGGATTTTAGAAAAAGAAAAATTAGGCTTTTTAAAATAGTGAAATTTGTTTTAAGATTTTGGGTTTTGTCTTTGTGAGCCTAATAAGCTCTTTTCTCTTATTACTTCATCTTCTTATTTTGTCATCTTGGAATCATACGTTAGAGAACTATGATTCTAGAGAGGAATATTGAAGAAGTTGTCAATTACTTGCTTGTAGTCTTTGAGTTTCATCTTTCTAGCTAAGGGAGAATGAATTGGTATAATGAGAGTTATGGGTATAGGGGATAACCTTAAACCTTATTAAGTTGTTTTGATTTTATTTCATATTATTTGGTTTTGTGATTGAATTATTGATGTTCCTTTTAGTCCTATAGGTTTTTGTTGTCTTAATCATTGTCAATTGTTATGTAAATGAATTGGTTCGTTTTTATCTTCTTGGAAATTGGTGTTTATAAATTGATGACATGAATTTGTTTAATTGAATTTTATTGATTAAATTATTTGTTGTTCTATTATGTCCATGAATTTCTCGTGTTACTATGTTTATAACAATTGTGGCAATTGGATTGATTGAATTATAGTATAGAATGAATTACTTATTCTTGATTGATAAAGGTTTTTGAGAAGAAGGGTCTAATTGTGACTTAGTAAGATAATTGAGAATTTAATGCAATAAAGTAGGTAAAATTATTAGGTTAAATCCTTCAATGATAATGGATATATAAGAGGCTTTGAAAATCTTGAGTATACTATAATCACAAAGTTGCAAATAATGTACTAACAGATACGATGTAGATCTCACGTTAATCATGAATGCTCTAGAATACCCATGCTCTATGTTCCTTTTGCACCAAACACAATTGAGACAATATGCTAAGTGCAAAAGCTTTAGTAAACCACTAAAATTTTGATGCCAAGTGAGAGTATTGTCTTGCTTAGTGCAAGAACTACAAAAGGGAGCCCTAGTTGTGACACTAAGCATAAGGTAAGGAACACTAAGTTTGGGAGATCCAAAAAAAAAAACTTGCTCTCTTTGATCTTGGGATAGGAGAGGGTGAAGTGGTGCTAAGTAATAGAGCTCCAAAAGACAACCCCTACTCTTTGTTGCACTAGAATTAAAAATGAGTAAGGTCAGGGTATGCATGAATCCTTTGCTTTTCCTTATTTGATCTTAATGTTTATATATTTATTTTAGTAGTTTTTATACAATATGAATTGATGATGAATAATATATGTGACATGTTGTGAATTAGAATGAATGTTATAAATGCTATGTCATTTTTAAATTATAAAATAAATAAGGGCCTAGCCTTTATAAGGGTAGAGCCTGCATGTGGAAGTTGTGAAATCATGCACATTTTTGTGTGCTTGATGAAGTAGTCGATGAAGGTCATAGAGGATTGTTAACCCAAGACCTTGAAGGAGATTACATTTGGTAAGGAAATCCAAATGGTCCATATTGATCTTATGTGTGTCGAACACATTATTGTAGTTGGGAGATTAGTTCTTAGTTGTTGTATTGTTTTGGGCTAGTTATGCTCTTATAGATTGTAAAATAGGGCCTAGATATGTGAATTTCTTTATATGATTTATGTATTGGTCTTTGAGGTTCCATAAACTTATTTAATTATGTTTTATTTGGGCTAGTTTGGTGTTGTTATAACATATGTTATTATTCTTTATTCTTAAAAAATGTTCTTATAAACATATGATTTCATGGTAAAAGGTGTCATAATATTAATAAGAGGTCAAATTGTCTTCAAGAAAGAGAAGACTGGGAAGAAAGACATGGAAGAACTTGAGGATGTTCTAAAAAAATATAGGGACCTATGAGTAAGTTAAGGAGTAAGTAAATTAATGAATATCTATCACAAATGTTCAAAAACATTAATGCATGCAATGCCTTTGATTGAAGGAAGTTTAAGTCTCATCACTCAGAGCCAAGTTAAGGAAGAAATCAAGTTGGCAGATTTGTTATGTCCTTAGCAATTATTTCACACTTGTAAACATTGCAAAAAAAAAAAAAAACTAATCACTTGTAACAATTTTTTTATGCCTGTGACTTTGCCAACAAAAAACTATTCATGTACAGGCAAAATTTGTCCCACCTATTACTTGTGAAAAATGTTTTTTGTGTTGTTCACATTTTTAAGACTTTTGATCTTTTGGCTTCTTAGACTACCTTTTAATATTAAATTTTGGAACTATGTCTATTATTTGGGATTAAGCTTTTTCTTAGTTGAAAGTGGAAAAAAACTCCTTTTAGGTTCTTATATAGAACAAAATAATTATTATTAAAGGTTTCTTTTTGTTATAGATCTTCACAAACTCATCAATCAACATTATATGATTGTGGTTCCATTATATCAATCTTTTTATCTTCACCATTTTGAACTTTCTTCCTTGAGTTAAAATATACTTCAATGGTGTAATTGGATTTTGATTACAAAAGCTATCCGACCTTTCCATTTGGAATTTTGATGTTATCTCAAGTTGTCTTTCAAATTCAAGTATGAATCCTTTATTTTCTATAATGAATGTATCTAGAACGAGGAAATTCTATAATTTAAGGGTCTATTTGGTGTATAGGATATGATAGAATAGGATAAGATAACTATTCTATTCCTTGCTAATACATTGGTTAGTGTACTAAGGATATGATTTTCTTATCCTATTTTATTGGTGTAGTGTATTTCTTTTCTTGAGGGAGAAGTTATGTTATAAAGCAACAAGATAGGACAATCATTCTCCTCCCTCCCTTTCACCATCACCACCTTATTTTCCACAAATGTCAATACCAGTATTGTTAGTACCAATACCTTTATTTCCATCACCATTACCTTTGTCGCCACCATCACCAACATCACTGTTGCCACCACTCCTATCAAGGACACCACCACTCCCACCATCTTCATTTCCATTGTTATCATTGTTTTTGACATTGGTAACACTGTTGTCATAATCATTGCATCAACATTATTGTAATATGACCGTTTCCACCATAGTCATTACTACAACCATGTCGACCATCATCACCATCATTATCAATGTCACAATTGCCTCCATCATTACCCTTTCCCTCATTACCCTTACCCACAAAACCACTATTACCACTACCTTACCTCGTCATTGTCACCACCATTGCCATCATCATTATTATTATTGCTATTGTCTTTACCATAATTATTGCCATTGTCAACACCACCTCGTCATTATCATTATTTCCATCATTGTCACCACCATAACTCTATTTTTGTCATCGCTACTATGATCACCACTATCATTATTGTAGCCACCACTACCATCTATCACTATCTTCTTCGTATCAAATACACATGACAAGATAACATAAAAATGTCTTCTGGATTGAAATAAAAATTGGAAAGAATTAAAGTTATTGAATCGAGCATTTACCACTTGGCCAAAAGCTATAATTGATAGTTAAGGCACAACTCTTTCTACCTAATCGTAGCAACCCAAGCGCCATGTGTCTCAACTATGACTTGACTCATCGAGGTCTTTGCCATGGGATAATTGATGTCACCCGGTAGACAATCTCATCCTCAACAATTGCTCCCATTGAAAATCGAACACATGACATTGGCTTTGATAACAATTGTTGGATCGAGGGCTTACCACTAGGCTAAAAGCTATAATTGATAGTCAGGGCACAACTTTTTCTACTTAATCATCGCAACCCAAGTGTTACATGTCTTGATTATTACTTGACCCACTTAAGCAAGTTTATCCTTCTATAATAATATTGTTCTTTTCTTTCATTTATATCTTATCTTATCATATCTTGACCACAAATAGACCCTAAGTGTACAAGGGTTCTTGTGTCATTTGTACTCCCATTAATACCTTTTATGTTAATTATTCATCAACCAAAACATTTATCAACTAAATTGTGCATTATTATAAATTAAATTTTCAATAAAAGGAATTTTTATACTTTTAATCCTCTTTGACTATATTTTTCATACAACTCTTTAATCATTTTTTTCCTAATATAAATTAGTTATTTATAAACAATCTGGGATATGAAATATTTTCAAAAGTCGAAATGCAAAGGAAAATAATTGACACATTTTCTTTATGAAATTTATAGCATTTTAAAGAATATGAAGTTAGAGTCTTAACAACGGAGAACATTTAATACTTCTAGTATTGGATAAGAATATGATATTTTGATTTATAAGTTTTTATAGTTAGATAGTTTAAAATTGTTTAATAAATTTTGTTGCAAATTATTTGATCATAAATTGAGGATTTGAGAATTTTAGGTAGAATATTTAAAAATATCTTTTCATTTTACTAAAAAAAAAATAATTTCTAAGCATTGTTTGTGTAAAAATTTAGATTGTCAACTAATAAAAAATCATTGATATGACCTTTAAGAAAGTTGTTGTTAAAGTGCACAAACTCACCATACATGACACTTTATGATTAACTAATAGTATAAAAATCATTTAGACTTCTTAGTGCATAAACTATTTAATCAAAAAACAAATAATAATACTACATTTGAAGAAGAAAATTGCTTGGGGAACAAAATAACCGATTAATCATAATACAAGAACAATATGTATGATTAAGCATTCAATTAAATTGTATTGAAACTTTTCTTCATTATATCATCATAATTGGATGTAAATTATAGTTAAATATAGGGATAAAAATATAATTTTGTAAACTTGAGATAAAACTTAATTCTCTCCCTCTTTTTGAAATGTTAGCAAAGGAAGAATATTTTCTTCAACAATAGGATTATCAAAGCAAAGAAAAGTTCATTACCTTTTCTAAATATTCGGGAGTTAGATTACCCCATGGATTTCTACCACTTCCATAACTATGAAGATTCAAAGCAACTATTGCTCTTACACTGAAAGCAAATGGCATAACCTTATTTAAAATTAGACAAAAGCAAAAGCAAAATCGTAAAAAATATCCTTATCACACTTATGTAAACTAGACAAACTTCAAATTCCAAAAAAAACCAAAAATTTGAAAATTTGAATATGCATGGGAGAAATTCACATCCATTGGTAACTAGATTGAATATGGTAATAGCCTAATTGGTGATGATGCCAATTTTAAGAACACTACTTTGTGTGCAAGTTAATACACAAAAATAAAACATAGTTCAAGAAATATACCTTGTAGGAACTGGAACGTGTTCCCATTCTGTACAATTGAACTTTTTGACATGCATCCGCAAAATATTCTTAAGGCCCCTATTGGAAGATTTTTTTTAATAATTTAGTCACGGAAAACTAAAAAAGTAGTTATTAGACCAATTATTTCCCATTAGCACTCAAAGCAGTAGAGTTAAATATAATGAACTCCAAAAGTGTTACTTTTTTCAAGAAAAAAGTGCAATCGACATGAATTAAATATAAACACAAACTTTAAAACAAGAAAGTAAAATTAACTACAAATGTTTTTATTAGAATTTCCACTTAAAAATTCAAATAAACTAAAATAAGTATGTCAATTAGATAGGAGGCTAAATTATATGTTTAGTCTTTTATCTTATTTTTAAGATTCATTTATGTTTCTTATCTTTCAAAATATTCATTTCAATCATTATTTTAACTTTTAAACTTAGGTCAATTTGATCATTCCAAAACAGTGAATGTTTTCAATTTTGTGTTAGTTTTGAATCCTTTTTCAACGGATTCAAATTATGAAACTTGTATCATTTGATTCACATACATGAAACTATTGAACTCAACAAATGTTTGAAAAAAAAATTAATGAAATGTGATGAAAATCACATGAAAATGATTCCAACAAGAAACTAGAAAATTTTGAAAAATAATATATATATATATATATAGTTTTTTTTTGTTGTTTTGGAGATATATTTCCCCACAAATTTTACCATTTTTATAACTTTTTTATTCGCATATCAATTGGTTTCATATATAGTATTCATGTAGGTGATGAATATAATGAGATAAGTTTTGTATCTTTAATAAGTCAAAAAAAGATTCAAAATGGTATCGAAATTAAAAATAATTATAGTATTGAAAAGACCAATTTGACCTAAATTTAACAGACAAAAGATTAAATTGAATCTTAAAAATAAGATAAAAGACTTAAATTATAATTTATCTCAGAAAAAAAATCTAAAAATAACTTGTAACATAAAATTAACAATTGTCTCAAATCTTCTTGAAAAAATAGAAGAATAATTGCAAAATGGTAAATTTGATTTTATGGTATATTATAGACATCATCATTTGAAGATGATTTACCTGTATATTTATCTTTATTAAAATTTTCATCACATTGACCTCAACTGATGTTGGATGCTAAATGCTAAAGAATTAATTATTGGATCACATTTTATTGTGTAAATGATATTGATGCATTTTCATATCTTAAATACATCCATTTATGTTCAATATAACTTTCAATGGATCTAACCATTATGAACTTAGCAAATAGAAACCATATTTTATCGTAATTCGAAGAAAGAAAAGGGTCTTACTTTTCTCTTTCCCAAACCATACACTAAACATATAAGATACATAAGATATAAGTCAAATTGTTCATACAAAAGAAGAGTTCATTGACTTTAATAAACAAAAATTAATTATAGTTATAACAAGAATAAGTTATAAATCAAGTGTTCCTTTCATCATTTTTGTTGCAATAAGTCATTAAATTTTTTGTAATTGAACTAGATAATTGCTTTTGATAACCAATAATACTAATTTACCAATTAAGGAAGAATAATCACCCAACTTTTCTAAATTCAAGAATCACATCTTTGTTTGTCAAAACTAATTGTAAATATTAAGCTTGCACACCTAGTCATATAAAAAAGAAAAACAAAGCACAAAACTTATTTTTGTAACACCCCGGTTTTCATACCTTATAATAATAATATTTTAGAAATTATTTTAATATTTTAATGTGTTTATTAAAGGATTTTGATATTATTTAATTACTTATATGAACACTATTTTATTATAAAGTATGATTTATAATTATTATTTTTATTGGTGATATATCAATAACTTTTATGAATTGTATTTTATTAATAATCATGCTTATGTTATTTGATTAAAGAGAAGAGATGTATTTTAATTATATTATATTGTATTAATTATTTTATGATAAGGGAAGGAAGAATGTAGTGGTCTTTTGCTAAATAGTAATATTATTATTATTATTATTATTATTATTTTAAGAAAAGGAGGTTATCAGGAGTTAAGGGGAAGTTTCATTTCATGCTTTTAACTCCTCATTTCTCTCTCACATTTCTAAAGAACAAAGAGAGCTCAAGAAGAGAAACAACCTAGTTCTTCTTGTGCTTCATCTTCTAATCATCAAGGTAAGGGAGGAGTGAGAAACCTCACTTGGGGTGCGGGAATAATTGTTGGGTAGTCGGATTGACCCCCAATCCCTTGCTTAATGTATGCGTATAGAAACGGACACTTTATAAAAGTTTTATGTATTGCTTTTTGATTTTTATATTGCATTCCTTGTGTGATTTTAAATGTAGATGTGTTCAATTTTAATAATGGATATGTTTGGTAGCGGGATTGGCCTCAACCCCTTGCCTAATGCATGCTCTTAGAAATGGGCACTTTTTGAATGTTTCTATTTTCGTATTTGAGTTTTTTGTTGTATCCCTTGATGGTTGTTGAATGTGGTTATGAGATTAATTTTGAAAATAAACAAGTTTTGGTATGAATTAGAGTCCTCTATGAGTTCTTATGGGAAACCTATGAAAAATAGGCAAATTTTGAATGTTTTCTATTTTGCCTTCTGAGTTTTCTATTGTGTTCCCTAATGATTACTGAGCATGAATATATGTTTAATTTTGAGCTTGGATATGTTTTGATATGGATTAGAGTGCTCTATGGGTTCCTACGAGAAACCCTATGAGAAACATGCAAATTTTGAATGTTTATATTTTGGCTTCTAAGTTTTCTATTGTGTTTCTTGATGTTTGTCGAGTGTGAATATGTGTTTAATTTCAAAAAAAGATAAGTTTTTATATGAATTAGGGTGCTTTGTGGGTTCCTGTGGAAAACCCTATGAGGAACAAATAATTTTGAAAATAGATAAGTTTTATGTTATGTTTGAACGTGCTAATGGTGTGAGAACTGTCTTATTATGGTGTTGATTTAAATGGTGTATTTTTATGAGCATGATAAGAATGAGAATCTCTTATATGTGACCTTGTGACTATAAGTATGATAATGTGATATGAGAACAAGTGACATGATGAGATATGACAAGTGAAATGTTGATTCTATGAACATGTGAATATGTGACATGCATCATATGAATCTATGTGATGGGGTACGATATGGAGTACACTGTTAGGGAAAGCCCTTAGGGTGAAACATCTCATAAGAGTCCTAGGGGATAGCACCACATGCATGCATTTACAAATCGAGTCCATGGCATTACTGCATGGTAAATGATTATGCATGTGTTATTGTTTTATGAATGGCTTGTGATGGAATCACACTAAGGCCAAGAAAACCAAGAGGTGATATATTGGAGGAGGCAAGAGGAATGGGTTAGTTTTGAAAACCATAAGAGGAGCGGGCCTACTTTTGGGCCTTAGCTCCTACGTTTTTTATTAGTATAGGATTTATTCCTATTTTGCCCTTATTTTTAATTTCCTATTTTATCCTTGTATTTTGGGTACCTTAGGCATAGGATTTACTTATCTTGTATTTCCTATTTTACCCTTGTATTTTGGGGTGTCTTAGTTATAGGATTTATTTTTACTTATATTTCCCATTTTACCCTTGAATTATGGGGTGCCTTAGATTATAGGATTTTATTTTATAGCTAGGGTGTTTTATTAGGGTAAGAAAATAAGGCTAGACGTGTTTTTTGGTAGCGTTGGATTTATTTTTGGACTTGGCAAGGTTTAGGCCCAAGTGAAGGGCACCTAGGTTGCATGGTCTTATCATGCACCTAGATGTAGCTTAACCAAACCCAAAGATTCCATCCTTGGCCACCAAGTAGCATCTAGGGTTAATTTAGGTTTCATTTGAAGTGAATTTGGCTTGCATTTTTCAGCCAAGCACTCTCAAATGTAACCCTAAATGCATCCTCCCTTCTATAAATACGTTAGGCTAGCAACCTTGTAAATACTTTGGAAATTAATATAGAGTGAGCTTTTTGTGCCTTTATATTTTCCTTAGTCTCTCTTGGTCTTTTTCGGCCAAGAACCCTACCTATCTCCACCTTGAGTAAAAACCCTAGGAGTGGCCTTCATCTACCTTGGAGTGAGCCAAACCCTAGAGTACCTCTCAAGCATTCCATCAAACACCTTCTACTCAACCTCCATTTTCGTCCATTTCCTCCATGAAAGAAGTCCCTTGAAGAGCTTTTATCCAAGGAGTTTTGGCTTCCTTCTCATTGATCACATTTCTACATCAATGCAAGCAAGGATGCCATTAGCTTGTATGTGTGCTTTGTTTGTGGTTGCTTTGTGTGTGTGTTATCTGACAATTGTTTTTGCATCTGAACCCGAGTGAGATGTTTCTCACTCCTCTATTGTTTGTGTAAGTTTGTAATTGTGTTGCAGGTGATCATCAGTAGGAGGATGTTGGTAATGAAGCTTAGCTTCGGTATTAGGCGTGCTTTGATAGGACATGTGACACCGGGGCATAGATAAGACTAGTTTAGGACTTCATTTTATTATTTTGTTTTGGAAAACCTTAGTTTTATTTACTTTTTATATTCCACATTTGAACTATGAATTATGATTATAAATGTGAATCCTCTATTCCTATGTTATGAGAACAATTGTTTTAATAATGAAAGTTTTTACTTACTTGGAAAATTGTTTCATATTTACTATATATTTATGTTTGGGGTAGAGGGTGTCACAATTTTCATAATAGTACTAAAAGAAAAAGAATCTTACAAAATGGTAAGCTTATTGTGTTCTAATTCTTTATGTCTATAAATAAATAAGGCAAAAATTTTGTTGCACTGGTCATATGATCTACCTCTTATTAAAGAAAATTTGTTGAGGTGATCTAAAATAAGAAACAAAATCATAATTATAACTTCTTAATTTTTGTAGTTTAATTCAACATAGGATTGCATTAGTTGAGATATATCTCACCTATAACTTGGTTCACTAGTGCAAGGCGTGAAGAACCATCCTTGAGTACAGGAATAACCTGAGTATAAAATCTACAACCAAAACAAAAAAAAATATTTGTAGCAATCTTGTGTTAGTATGATTGAATCTATGACATCATTTTTACAATATACAAATTAATGGTATCTATTTATGAAACATGAATGCATAATAAAATAAATGCATAATAAAAAATACATTTATTAGCAAAAGTCATGTTCCTAAACCTCCAATCATATGAAGGAATAATGTCATTTAGAGGTAATGACAAAGTAAAAGTTAGAGGTACTGGTAAGATGGTGATAAATTTTTACATACCATGGGGATTAATTTGTATGTTGAAGTATTAAATTATAATTCTCTTGCTTTGTATTAAAAGTCCCACATTCATCCCTAACCCCTCAAGACTTAATGTTAGTAAGAGAAGTCAAACTCCTGCTGATATTTTTGTATACTCCCATTTAGTGAAGAAAACTCCCCCTCTCAATCATAGCATGTAAAGATATGCATGGAAGAAGGATGAGACTACTACATTTCATCTAAAGTGTAACAAGCTGAAGTATCTCTCTCAAACCATTATCAAAATCAAATAGGGATTAGTCTAGACAAAGATAAAATTGATCTAACAAAGGACAACTACCATTACATGTGTAACACCCCGAATTTTTCTACTAACACTACGAATAATTATTATTTATTTTTTTATTTATGAAGATTGTTTCCTTATAATTATTTTGATTAATTAAATGGGTTTTATTGAAGTTTTAAAGGTTTTTAATAATAATCATTTATGAAAATTATTTTGTATAATATTATTAATTATGGTATTTTGTTATAATTATTATTTGAAGAAAATCATGTTTTAAATTGTATTGATATTTTATTTTAATTTGATATATATATATATATATATATATGTTATTTATTTATTTATTAATTAAAGCATGGATGGGTAAAATTTCAACCCAGAACGAGCCGTTCCAATTTGGGAACGGGCCGTTCCGGATGTTGGTTAACAGAAAAAAATATTGACTCAGAACGGGCCGTTCTGGTTTTGGAACGGGCCATTCTGGGAGAGGCTTTTGTACATGTTCTATGTGCCCAGAACGAGCCGTTCTGGATTCGGAACGAGCCATTGTGGACAAATCCTGATGCCTATAAATGCGTTCTAGAACTCCAGAAAAACGCATTTTTTCACTTTTGACCCTTTTTTTTCTACACTTTCTGGAGACCAAGGGGAACCCAAAGGAGGAGATCATGCTTTAGTTTCAACCCCTGTTTATCGAGGTAAGGGGGGAGCACTAAGTGATGTGATAATGTGAACAGAGGCCAAGAAGAACAATCCCTTTCTGCTTTGAGGGAAGAAGACGGTGCTATAGAGAATACCTTATTGTCGAAATAACCAAGGGGATGGATGCCGCTCTCAAGTGGAATCTTTTGAAGTTTCATTTGCTGCTATTGCTATCATAGATAAAGAAGTTGTGGATCCCGTTAACGGAGTTCTATGTCTGGCTTTCGGTTTACCTTGGTTTCGGTGTTTTAATTGGAGGGCAGACTTCGTCTGATAATGGTATTGTTTGAGACTCTTTGGAGGAATCATTTCATCTGGAAATTTCTTGGAGATGTTGCTGGCGAGGACTAAGTTGATCCTGGATAAGGAATTGTTGCATCTTATCTGATTCTGAATCTGCTATTGCTGGACTTTGATTATGAGAGGAGAGGGCTGCATATTCTGATTCAAGGAACTACGACTTTATTTTGATTCTTCTCTTCCCGATTTAGCTCCCACTTCAAGATGCTTCTTCATCAAAGACTACATTACATCTCTGGCTTTTTCTTTTTTAAAAATGGAACACTCTATAGCCTTTGAATTTAGCCCTGAAAGAAACCTTTCTTAGCATCAAATTGCTCGACTCGATGGGTACTTCTAGTGGTTTGCCGGAGAAGCTCTTGTATTTCTTTAAGGAGTTGGTTAGTGGCATAGACACCTCTTAACTCGAAATCGAATATTCAAGAGACTAAAAAGATCGGGAATGCACATCTAAAAGGAGAGGAACTTCACTCGCTAAAAAGAAAAAGATAAACGATAGACAGAAAGAGAAGGAATAGCGGGCAAAGCGATTCCAATGCTTAACGAATGGACCAATCCAAGACTTGGAATGCTACCAGAATCGACAGCTGCTCTTACCTTACTAGCACGATACCGAAATGGCTCTTAGCCGACTAAAGGCTACAAGACTGCTTCTACACCTACTACCCTCACTCTCAGAGAAAGACAGAACGGACAAGAACGACTTTTACATCCTCAAGCTAGAAAGAGGATAGGCTATTGGGGCTTCCTGCGAATTCTGTGGAAGGTAACAAGACAGTAGAATATTCGAGGGACCACAATAAGGGGAAGTCAACTGTTGCCTCTAAAAGGGCCGCCTAAACCAGTGCAAGGTAGTATTCCCAAGGAAGCTAGCATAGCAATAGGGAATCCATCTAGTATTTACTAAGGAAAGATGGTGCTGGGGGGTCCCACTAAGGTGAATGTTGTTATTGAACCTTCTCATGCAAACGTTAAAAGCCATGCAAAGAATTCCTTCTACGTCCATTGCTACTGTAAGACCACCAACAGGGGGAGATGAGCAACATGTGGGGCCTACACACTTGGAACAGCCTCGCCAAGAGTCTGCACAGGCCCAGGAGTTAGGTTCTTTTATCTTTGGAGTAAAACACCAGTTGCAGTTGGAAGACCCCCTGACCCAGGGGAAAACATCTGTCCTTATCGCTTGATAGTGCCACAAGAAGTGACAGAGGTAGAGGGAGAGGGTCAATTCTCACTAAACGTTCCTCTAGTAAGGCTTTTTTTTTTTGCAAGACTCCTCTTATGCAATGAGAATCTTGTGTAAGACTCTTCTGATCACTTTCTTATTTTTGTGTGTTTCAAGGAGGTGATCTTCTTATCTACCTTAGACTTAGATAATGCGTTGTAGATGTTCGAAGCTTTGATTAATTTTATTATCTTCGGTCATGTTTTTTTTATTGTGGTTGATTTTAGAATTTAATATGTGGGAAGAGGGGGAAAAGAATAAACACAAGAGATTTATGGAAATGACGTATATTATTGATGAATGTAATAAAAACAAGCCCTTATTGTGAGATCCCACAACCCTGGGCGAAAGTTATGGGCAAAAAGAAAACAAAACTTAATAGAGTCCCTGCCCCGATGGCCTTTCAACATTGCATTCCAAGGTCACTTCTTATCGTGCTTGTGCAACGGGTATTTGTTGGTGTTGGGTGTGTTGGTGTCAAATTTCAACCAACCGGCATCTCTAAGTCGTTACACACGAAATCGTAGGGCCTTGCACCGCTCCACCGAGTGCCCCGGAGAGTCAGAATGATTTTCTAAGCCTTTTTGTACTGAATATGTGAGTTGTTTTGGTTTATGTGGGACCCATCACTAGGTCCATGGCTAGGAGATTAGAAAAGGATAGGGAGCTAAAACCGTTAAACACATGCTTCTTATGGCTATTAATCATTCTCCTAAGCCTTGTTACAATTAAATTTATTATTCCTATTTTACCCTTATCTTTAATTTCCTATTTTACCCTTGTAATTTGGGTACCTTAGAAATAAGATTTATTTTACTTGTATTTCTTATTTTACCCTTGTATTTTGGGGTGTCTTAGTCATAGGATTTATTTTTACTTGTATTTCCCATTTTACCCTTGTATTATGGGGTGCCTTAGATTATAGGGTTTTATTTTACAGCTAGGGTATTTTATTAAGGTTGGAGACTAGGCCTAGACATGTTTTATGGTGGCATTGGATTTATTTTTTGTACTTGGCAAGGCTTATGCCCAAGTGGAGGGCACCTAGGTTGCATAGTCTTATCATGCGCCTAGATATAGCTTAACCAAACCCAAAGATTCCATCCTTGGTCACCAAGTAGTATCTAGGGTTAATTTAGGTTTCATTTGAAGTACATTTGGCTTGCATTACTTGGCCATGCACTCTCAAATGTAACCCTAAATGCATCCTCCCTTCTATAAATACTTTAGGCTAGCCTCCTTGTAAATACTTTGGAATTTATAATATTGAGTGAGTCTTTTGCCTTAATATTTTCCTTAGTCATTCTTGGCTAATATTTGGCCAAATCCTACCTATCTTCATCTTGAGAGAAATCCTAGAAGTGGCCTTCATCATCCATGGAGTGAGCCAAACCCTAGAGTGCCTTCTCAAGCCTTTCATCAAACACCGTCATCCTTCCTCCATTTTCGGTTACCACCACCATCCAAGGCTAGGCCTTTGAAAAACTAAGATCCGTGGAGTCTAGGAGTCCTCTCATTGATCATCCTTCTTCCATCAATGCTAGGAGGTATTCCATCATGTGGTATCTAGAGCCAAAAGTTCTTCAAGGGTAACATCTAGTGTTTTTAAAAATCCGGTCATGTCATTTGTGTCTTTTTTCTTGTCACTAAAGTTGTGCTAAAGTGGGTCATCATCTTGCCATATTTTTATAATCCATTTTTCTTCTTTCATGTGTTGATTCATGCCATCTTCATCCTTGTGAATCATCTTGGTGTTTTAGGCTTCTTTGCTTAAGTTCTACCATTTTCTTTTTAAGTTTGAGTTGCTGAAAATTTTGGGCTGCATGTGAAACATTGATGATATGATATATTTTTCTTTTTAATCCATCCGTTTTTGTCATTAACTTGTCTCTTTTGAACCCACCTTGAAAGAATTTCAAGTATTCATGCTTAAACCTTGAAATGATCAAAAAAAATGACATGCATGCCACTTGTTTGATGAAATGGCCGTGAGTCTCTAGTGTGCTTTAGAGAGTCAATCATGCATGCTAATTAGTTTTAGCATGTTCTACATCACTTAAATATCATGTGTGATTAATTTCTTTGCACATACTTGCTTAAAAATTTTCGGCCATTATTTTGTATTCCCTTGTGCACTTGATATGCCTATATATTGTTTGATGATTTGAGCATGAGAGTGATTTTTATGTGCACATTTTACTGCTGGACATTTGCACATTAAAATTTTTAAAAATCAC